CAAATTGTTGTGCGATTGCAATTTTATATTTGATCAATTTTCTAGTAAAAAACATTTTCATTGTTTAAATATGTAAAAAATATTGTATGTAATCCAAACAGAAAATACAAAATATTGCCTTGGTTCTGTACAAACAGAAAATAATCAATATTTGACAACAAAATTATCACGATCTCAGAAGGCCTTTTCGAAATGGCCTTATCTAAATAATAATAAATCATAGTAGATAAAGAATGGGCATCTATGTTTATCACGACCTCTATCATTCGATTCTTTTAAACACAAAACTGATTAGCTATATTTATGATTTCCATAAAACTCGTAACTTAAAATTAACATTCCACCTTTGGTACACGTTTTTATTTTTCTTAGAGCAAAGACACATCAGGCTATATGCTGTGTCCTCCGAAGGGAATCGAATCCCCGAGTTTAATGTTGTAAATTCATAGACGTACCACTATCCCACCGGGGAAACCCTTTGGCACCTCAAATATAAAGAGTTATTACGAAAATTTAAGTTTTACTGTACAATTAGCTTACTTATTTTGAATATTCGTGGAAATCTACAAAGTTTTTTTTTCTGCGCTAGCCGTCCTTAGTTTTAATACGATAAACAAAAAGGAAGACAACTAGTCTACAGCTATTGTACTATTGTAAACGAGTGGTGGAGTTTGACCGTCACTCTTATAATGCACCCATAGCTGCAAAATGCGGATTGTGATTTTGTGGCAATGGAATGCAAACCACGTACACACAGATTCGCTGTCAGGGCGTGCTAATCACTACCCCACACCCGGTCCATTTTATTGCATACGTTATGGTGGTAAATGTTTTGAATACATATAAGTCTATTACAAGAGCGTTCCCATTAGATTTTCCAGTATTTATTATTAAATAGTCATTAGATAAGATATAAATATTAGTACATTATATTTTTTATAACAAAAAGTAAAAAATAGTTTTTGGTTTTATAAAAGATATACTTAAAACTAGGAATAGAAAATATCTACATATTTTGTCTTCACTTTTTTTTTCTTAAATGTAATCGTGTTTGAGTTCAATTACCATGGAAGTAAGTGGCCAATAAATTAACAATTACAACATTACTGTGCTCCGTAAAAAAAATAATGTAATTATAATGTTTTATAAGAAATTCTCATAACCTTAGTTCTCATATTTGAAGGTTATATACAAAAAACTGAAGCAATAAAGTGAAGTGAACTTTTTGTTATTTTCGAAATGCCAGAATCCGTTTGTACCGTCGAATGACTAATTTAGAAAGGAGACACGTGTAGCTTTAAAATTTAAAACATCTTTTTACAACGTTCAATGTTAGCGAAATTTACGTTGGCGAGTTTGAAATTCAATTTGTTTCCTTTTTAGAAGTATAAAAATAGTTCAAAGGAATACAGCAATTAAATAGTTAGTTCGAATGTATTGAAGAAAACGATGAAGTGGTAAAAGGATTTAAAAAACTATTGAAGTTCTGAAATAATGAACGAGTATTTTTAAAATATCTTGTAGACGTGTAGAATTAGGCTTAACGAGTATTTTTAAAATACCTTGTGGACGTGTAGAATTAGACTTAATGAGTATTTTTAAAATACCTTGTAGACGTGTATACTTAGACTTATTGGTTTTACTCAGTATTCACTAGCAAAATTAGTGAACTTTTTCGATTCCAAAAATCTAGAGAATTCCGTGTTAGCATTCGAAATACTTGTAATGTACTTGTACATACAATAGGTCCATTAGTAACAAAATATTTAACGTATAATGAGGAAGTAACAGTAACTGCCCCACACCCCCATTCATATAGTTAACCACATAGAGAGAGACAAACACACGGGTATAGTATTGTTACGTCTCCGTTTGTTAATTGATTTTCCGTAACTTCGTTCCGACGAAACTTAAGCGACACAAGTTCTTTCTTAATAAAACTGGTTTATTCTTTCCGAATATAACTTTACCGATACACTTAACTTCAACAATCGCGCTAAAACAAACGCTAATCAACGAACGTCAACAATACTTCTGACTGCAGATCAATTACTCACCGTCTATCCACACATTACATTCCCCTCTTTTATATACCAGCGTACCCTATTTCTAGTAAGAACTTGAACATTCGCCAAAGTACATGATAGTTCTAGAAACGTTGCGTCACGGTGGTCATGTGACTCGCTGACGCAACAGTATCCATATCCTGATGATAAACCTAGAATGAAGTTCAACGTCCTTGAAATTTGGACATCTGGTATATTGCATTTCGATTACAGAATATATTTCGTCAAAACACTTTAATTTTTTTTTTTTCATGCTGCAAGGAAACGAATTCATATTGCCGTAATGCAAGTTCTCTCCCCCGGAGGAAAAAATAAAAGTTATAAAGGGGAGTTGTTATTACATAGAGATCTCCTGCTGCGCCATTCTATTATTGGCCTTCGATTTCGGAAAATTCTATATATGGGTAGTGTGAGACAATGCATTACATCCTAATCTTTATTTTTTTCATCAGAATGCCAGGCGGATATCAACGATGGACGAGCAACGTTTCGCCTTCCGTTAGACAACATCTACGCTTGTGGTACAATCAGAGTCCTTAATAAAATAACGGTAACTGTTCAGTTTCTCAGTAAGTTCACAGAGTAACACACTTTGAAATATAATTTAGGTAAACTGGTATTTAATGTTAGCCATATATTATCAAGCATAGAAACGGTACTCTAATGCATTCTTTCATTTTAAAACTGATAAATGTGGTTCCGATATTTTTCAAAAACTCTTTAGGTTATATAAAAAAATTATATTTCTGAAAAAGCACACACCGCACTTTACGCCTACTATAAACTTAAACTAATATAAAATTGAAGTGTCTGGTAAAAATATAACAACACAAAAACAGTTTTAGAATATCTTTCTACTTTGTGACTTTTACTTCTTTAAGGCATTTATAGCATGTTCCACATTTGAATTTTAATATAATTACATACGTTTCATTGTTTTCTAAAATCTTATCAACAGAGCTAATGGTAATAACTAACGAATCAGAGCTAATGATACTAACAACTAACCAATCAAAGTAAAGTATACTAATAACTAACCAATCGGAGCTAATGATACTAATAACGAACCAATCAGAGCTAATGATACTAATAACTAACGGATTAGAACTAATGATACTAATAACTAACGGGTTAGAACTAATGATACTAATAACTAACGGATTAGAGCTAATGGTAATAATAACTAACCAATCAGAGCTAATGGTAGTAATAACTAACCAATCAGAGCTAATGATACTAATAACTAACGAATTAGAACTAATGATACTAATAACTAACGGATTAGAACTAATGATACCAATAACTAACGGATTAGAACTAATGATACTAATAGCTAACCAATCAAAGTAAAGTATACTAATAACTAACCAATCAGAGCTAATGATACTAATAACGAACCAATCAGAGCTAATGATACTAATAACTAACGAATTAGAACTAATGATACTAATAACTAACCAATCAGAGCTAATGATGCTAATAACTAACCAATCGGAGCTAATGATACTAATAACGAACCAATCAGTGCTAATGATACTAATAACGAACCAATCAAAGCTAATGATACTAATAACTAACGGATTAGAACTAAAGATAATAATACTAACGAATCTTTGATTTATTCGGAAAGGGAGAAAAGATCTTCTACCACAGAATTATTGTTGAGCACCCCGTGGAGCCTAAAGAAATGATTTTGGTAAAGTGCGCCATTCCTGGTGAACCTCATCAAGGCATGTTTCAGAACAGGACCAGGAGAAATGTCTTACCTGAAAATTTCTCTGAACCTGAGTAAGATTGTTTTTATCTAAGATATGAAAATAATGGGTAGTCTCAATTTTGTCACCATGTCTGTTTCATTTTTGTTTTTGAAAGCGTAATTCCCGGTCTTTTTTATAACAAAGAATATTAAATATTTATTTGTTTGTTTGTTTCAAGTTAAGCACAAAGCTACACAATGGGCTATCTTTGCTCTGCCCACCGCGAGTATCGAAACTGGTTTCTAGCATTTTAAGTCAGCAGACATACCGTTGTGTCACTAGGGGGTGGAGTGGCTAAATATTTATTTAATAAAATATCTTGGATAAAAAAAATATATTAAATATAACATCATTTTTCTATGCGCGCTGCTGAAGCTAAAATGTTAAAGTTTCATGTGTCGAATTCATGTATCGAACATCTTGGAAAAGACGTTAAGATAAGTTTCCTATCTGAATAATTATAATAGTTTTTCTACTAATTCACTGTTTTTCTACTAATATTTTCAAATGAACTTCGTCAAATAGGTAAATAATTATAGACATAAAATCAAACCGAATAACTGTAACTACAATTTTTCTGTCGCAAAGATTTAAAACATGGAAACAGAATCGTTTCTGGGTGGGAAATTATTGGTCGTTATATTTGCTTACTTTCAATAAATAATTTTCCACTTACAGCGAAACTAAGTGAGAGACAAAAGGGATTTCTAGCTGAAGCATCTCCAAAACAACCGTGTAGTGTGAAACTGTGAAATAAACTTTACTTAAGTATACGTCTCTGGGTGGCTTAGCGATAAGCTTAAGTGCTTATAACTCTAGAATTCGTGATTCGATATCTCCAGCGGAGACACAGACCAGATAGCCTACTGTGCTGCTTTACGCTAAACAAACAAACTTAGATATAACTAATTTTTATATGTTTCTTACTTCATATTGTAATCATCAAGTCATTGCTGTTATATAAATTGATCACTTCTCAATTAACTCCATGAAAATTATGAGTTTCCTGTTTAGGTTACAATAATTCCATGTATAATAAATCTTAAATGTGTATCCTACTTCACAGGATGTGGATGAATCTTCACCAAAATTGGTATGGAGGCTCGTTAGGTCCACATACAAATTTTCAGTTTTTTATTTTGCGATGGGCGTTTTTTATCACTACTTCGCCCAATGTTAGTGGATCTTCACCAAATTTGGTATAAAGGTTTTTTGGGTCCATGCGGAGATACATGCAAATTTGTGGTTTCACATTTTGTGTTTTGCAGTTTTTATGGGCGTTTTTGCATTTTTTACAATTACATATAAAAGAAGTAACTTTTCATGTCTTAAGATAACTTTTCATTAACCGTGAATTTACATAACTTCCGTCCAGGGAACGGGGGCTCCAGCTAGTAAAAAATAGAATTGTTAGAGTCAGCATACTTATACATTTTGACATGCTATCTAAAACGTGCCCAGTGTTACTTTATCTGCTTAGGTGATTAACAGAAATAAGAGGCAGTGATTGCTACAGACCATTTTAGTTTAACGCTACGTTCGAACACTGAATACTGTTTAACATTAGCAAAGACATCATTCCCTTCCTGTAAGAAAATAAAATCAGTAACTAGTTGGTAACTTTATTTGAGTTTTTACAATGGGGTTAAAAAGAACTTATTCGTCAACTTTAGTATATAAAATAAATAGAATTGTTAGAGTTAGTATACGACAAATCAACTTACAAACAATAAGGGTTAAAGTTTACAAAAACTAAGACAAATAAGAACCTTGGAACAAAGAGTTATCTCTGTTCATCATTGTTCTCGATTAAGTATTAAATATTCCATAATTCATTGTAAAAGCAATATACATTTGTGTCACTTGGAAATGTCAATTACGTGTGGCAGATTGTCATTATAATCCTATATTCATATAATGACGAAGTGTCATCAAATATCAGTATGGTTAACCTTTAGTCAGTTGCCCGTAATAGAAAATTACAAGGGCTAAAGATGATAGCACATTAAAAAATTATAATAGCAACTACAAAGAAATGTTCATTGGATTTAGTGTTGCATCAGGCTAGAATTGTTCACTGTTTACATACAGATTATAACCACAAAGAAATGTTCAGTGGATTTGGTGCTGCATCAGGCTAGAATCGTTCACTGTTTACATACAGATTATAACTACAAAGAAATGTTCATTGGATTTAGTGTTACATCAGGCTAGAATCGTTTACTGATTACATACAGATTATAACTACAAAGAAATGTTCATTGGATTTAGTGTTACATCAGGCTAGAATCGTTTACTGATTACATACAGATTATAACTACAAAGAAATGTTCAGTGGATTTAGTGTTGCATCAGGCTAGAATCGTTCATTGTTTACATACATATCATAAATAGGATTCGTATTTAAGCTGTTTAAAACGGTAAATTGAAAGAAATTACTTTATTACGTTTAGGAACAATTTGAAAGAAACCGCCCTTTCAATATAACATATGAAAAAAACATTGCTAGGCACGAATGTCAGATTTTTATAATAATCTTATACATACTTTCAGACATTTGATATGTTTCAACGAAATGGATGTAATGCCATAAGAAATGGCGTTCATCACATATAGTCGTTAATACGATTATTTCATGTTTTATTATAGGCTGAAATGCGTCTCTGTTCAATCTAGCTCCAAGTATAAAGACTAAATGGTCTTTTCTTGTTCTTGTTTTCTTTTGCTTAGATCGGTTTAAGAAGTGTATACCTTTTTTTTGTATTTCCCTACAGACATATTAATATCACTGAATACATCGTTGCCAGAGCACCCGTTCCATTTCTTAATCTGGCTCTCAGGCAAAAAGGACGGATGTTAGACACGACAATAAACGTGGAGCCGGGGACGCCCCTGGAAATGCTGATATATCTGGATGAGAAAAGTTCCGGTAGGTTTAAATGCTATTGTGAATTACTTTAGTCAAGCTTCATATGTCATATCTAGAGTCAAACTCTCAGCGTTATACAAGTGTTAAAGTCAAAGCTATGATAATCTCAATGTTTTGTTGAATATCGTCATACTTGCAGTAATCCCCTGTTATATATATATTATTTTTTATTTCACTCATGTTTGTCTGTCCATATGACTTTCTGTCTAAAAAATTAGTTTAAATAACTTAAACTCTCAAAAAGTAGTTGAGGTCTAAAAATACAAAAGTCACAAACCATCTGCTAACAGCTAGGAAAAATTACTTACTGCCTAATAGACCAACCGTTTGGAGATTTTGTGGGCGGTTCACAAGTGGTTGACTTACCATCAGCAAATGCAAATAAACCTAAATTGTGTTAATACTTTTTACTCATACTTATGTAGTATCGTAGATGGCGCCTCCATAGAGAAACATTTCTAAAATAAACTTAAGTAATGATATTTACCATTAAATGCTTATAACATTTCTACACTCCTGGTTGTTCATGCCTTAAACTATAACACATTTTTACCGATTAAGTATTAAGGAATTATGACCAGTTAATCAGCCTTTTTTCAGTTCAGGTAACAATTTTAAATAAAAGTGATTTATAAAGAATTCGTCTCCCCCACCAGAATTTTGTCATATAAGACAACTGCCAACTTATAAGTTTGAGTTAAAACTCAGCGACTGCTGTCATTCAAAGCGAAATGAGGGTTTCATTTAACAGGGTGGTTCTTTAGCTATCATAAAACGCTTTCCATGTTGGAAAATTATATTCTTCAGAGATAACTTCTCTTCATTTAAAGAAATTTGAAATGTATAGGGTAAATGTAGTAACAAGCAGGAAGTAGGGAATTATATGTCTAGAATATTGACCTACGACATAATTTATTTTCTTGGAATTCTTAGGTTTAAAAAAAATATATAAAAGTTATAAAGATCATAAGTCATAATGGTATTAAATTTTCTAGCATCTTACCCTTGCCCCCTAGTGGCACAGCGGTAAGTCTGCGAACATACAACGCTAGAAACCGGGTTTCGATAACCGTGGTGGGCCAAGCACAGATATCCCATTCTGTAGCTTTGTGCTTCGCTCCAAACAAACAAACAATCTTATCCTTATGTAGAGACTGAATATGTTATATTAAAATCTGACAACTGTGCATCTTGACAATAGCACTACAGCGTAGTTTCCATTGAAATAGGCTATGTCGCAAAGCTGTTTTGTTCAAAACATACCACTCCTTCCTCTATGTTTGTGTTTATTCTCAAATCAAAACGTGATATACGAGTGAAGAAAAAATTATCAAAGAATTTAACTTAGTACAAGAACTAAACTAAATTTTTACTTAGTACAAAATAACTACTGAAAATCGCTTTTATTCTCTAATAGAAAAGATGTGTCCATTTTGAATGATGAGTGTTAAACTATTTAAAAGTTTAGTTCTTGAAAATTGTACGATGGCTATATTTAAACGTTTAGTTCTTGATAATTGTGCGATGGCTATATTTAAATGTTTAGTTCTTGAAAATTCTACGATGGCTTTATTTAAGTGTTTAGTTCTTTAAAATTGTACGATGGCTTTATTTAAGTGTTTAGTTCTTTAAAATAGTACGATAGCTATATTTAAATGTTTAGTTCTTGAAAATTCTACGATGGCTTTATTTAAACGTTTAGTTCTTGAAAATAGTACGATAGCTATATTTAAACGTTTAGTTCTTGAAAATTGTACGATGGCTTTATTTAAGTGTTTAGTTCTTTAAAATTGTACGATGGCTTTATTTAAATGTTTAGCTCTTCAAAATTTTACGATGGCTTTATTTAAATGTTTAGTTCTTGAAAATTGTACGATAGCTATATTTAAATGTTTAGCTCTTGAAAATTGTACGATGGCTATATTTAAATGTTTAGTCCTTGAAAATTGTACGACGGCGTAATTTAAACGTTTAGTTCTTGAAAATTATATGATAGCTATATTTAAACATTTAGTTCTTGAAAATTGTATAATGGCTTTATTTAATTTTTCAGACATTTATGGAGTTCTTGCAAGCTATTTGAAAGTCACTGATAGTGCACATAAACAGGAGGAGGTGATTATTATGAACGGGTAAGAAACAGAATCACCATCGGTTAAGAAAGAATGAAGTAACAGACATGGTCCTTATATGCTTTACAATGAACAACGAATGAGATACAAGAGTTTTAGTCTTTTTAATATATATAATTAAAACATGTTACATTTCTTAAAGAGGGCGTGACTAATTTTTAGATGTTTAAATTAGTCAATGTACAATCAACAATTTCTGTAATTATGCGTATCCTATTATCATTGTATTTTATTCTGGAGCTTGGTCTGAGAATGTATTTATCGGATGTAACTAAGAAATGTACCCTTATTGTTAACTTTCTTGTCAAAAAAATCCTTAATTATATATATTGTTTTTATCACCAGAAAATGGAGTTTATTTTCATAGAAAAAATATTACGCTGTAAGCAGTTAGATTATTCTGCGCGAGTTTATCTTATTCATTAGTTATCGGGTATTAAATGTATCATTATGTAGGACTACTGAACCTCCTGTGTAAGAAAATGAAGTAAAATAAATGTTTATAAGATAGCGTTATGCCCTTTTCCAGCAAAATAGCACACTGCTTCTTATGGCAGGTCTATCTCGATATATATATTATAGCTGAGACGTAAGCTCATTTTCCTGCCAGTTTTAACTGTCGAATAATATACCTCTTTAACAATAAGTGTGACACCAGCCTAAGTATTGTTAAAAATGTTACTGAATAAGTATAAAAGGGGGACTAAGAAGGATTAGAATTTAGACAGATACGTTAACCTATTTATCTGTTGGAGCTCTAATGCTGCCAGTTTTCTGTATTCACTTTATTAGTCTTTGTCAGGACTGAACTGTCGAGTGTACACATTTTATGATGATGGATTTGGCGTTGTCAAGATATTGTAAAGAAACATCTATATCGACTAACGAAATCGAGAAGTTCTAGATATTTATATCTTCTCACTCTTCTTTTACTTAATAACAGTAAACGACGTTGTTGGTGTTGCCACTGTAATTACATTTCCGATTTTGACCCCCTCCCTTCCTTTCCCCGTAGATGCTCCATTGATTCTTACATTTTCGGTAACTTCTACACATCAGATAATGGGAACACGCTGTCGGCCCAGTTCAGAGCCTTCAAGTTTCCTCACTCGAGTTATGTCTTGTTTGTTGGCACCGTCAATGTTTGTCTTAAGAAATGTCAAGGGGTAAGAATTATTTTTCTATATATTTTTTTCTTATTGCTTTACGAATATATGTTATTTTTTTCTGGAGTGCAACGCATTAAGAAAGAGTTTAATTATCAGTCACAGTTAATGTTTGAAAACCACGACCTATTATTTCTGAATGAACTGAGGTTATTTCATCATATATAATTAATAGAATATATAATATATTATTTACTCAGTCATAAATATGTATTGCTATTTAAATATCTAAATCAGGATTGAATGTCTTGGTTGAGAGCACCGTCAAGGTTTGTCTTAAGAAAATCAATGGGTAAAAATTATTTTTTGCCATTGCTTCGCGCACTTACGTTATTCTTTTCTGGAGTGCAACGCATTAAGGATGAGTTTAACAATCAGTCATAGTTAATGTTTAAAGACCACAGCCTATCACAGTCATGGCCAAAATGCTTGCATATTTTGTAACGAATAAGATCAAATACACTTAGCGCTGTCAAACTGAGAAATGTATGTTATATCAAACACCTACGTATGTAATTTGTGTAATGAGACAGGTTCTATGGACATCATGAACGACTCATTAGAACAGTAAACAATTTTATCAGACACCTCTAGAATGATGTGTAATTCAGCATTTTATCTATCACAACAAAACCATACCGAAACATATATAATGGCAAAATATAACATCAAATTATTATACATAGCATCTGTAATTTCTTATCAGTTCATATTCAACATTCAGTACTTGGTTGGTCCTACTCGTACTCTAATAACCTCCGCAAGGCAACGTGTCACACTGTCGATGCTGTTATTATTGTAATCCACCGTGATTTCATTCCAAATTGTCACTAGAAAGCGCTGCAACTCAGCTACAGTAGCTGGTTTAAGGTCGTAGTTAACAACTTTTCGGCTCAGTTTTGCTCAACAGTTCTCAATTGGATTACAATTTGGAAACATTGCTGACCATGACAATCTTGTAACTCCTCCTGGTCGAGATAATCCTGTACAATACGCACACCGTGTGCAGCGACATTGTCATCTTGGAATACAAAGTTATTGCCAAACCTTGCCCTAGCGTATGATAGAAATATCATATCCATGTGATGCCTATAGGAGGCGCCATTGACTTTTCCCTAGAGGATATGAACAGCAGTTTTTCCACCATGATGAATAGCTGCCCAGACATGTACTGCACCACCTCTTTTGTGTTCCCTGTGGGAAAGACAGTCTTCTCTCATTTGTTCTCCAAGCACACGACGAACACGAATCCTACCATCAGCTTTAACAAGCCAGAAACAGGACTCATCTGAAAAGATGACGTGTCACCAGTATCCTAACCGTAACTTGGCATTCTATCTTGCCCAAGTAACGCGATGACGGCAGTTAATTCTGGTTAATATGAGTTTACAGATAGCCCTTCTTGTTTGGTCAGTCTCCTGTTCACTGTTCTTGTCGACCTTGATGTATTAACCTGATTGAAACACGGTAATCTCAAGCTGTAGTTCTTCGGCGTGTATCAGTAGAGCTTTCTGGAACAATTTCCATGTACTCCGATGACGTTTCAGGATTCTGGATATAGTTCACTGGGGGTACTCTATTGTTCTGGCAATGTCAGTTTTCATCATATCATTTCTGGAAAGTATAACAATTTGACACCCTATAACTTCTGACACGTGACGAGACATGAGTCTGTACCAAATACAGAGAAATTGTCTGAACAAAATGTCGATCTGTTTCGAAAAAGATTATACCAAAATCATACCCTTTTTTACAAAACAGGTGTTTATGTGTGTTTTGACGAACAGATACTCAAAACAACTTATACAGACCAGAATAACAGCACGTACATGTTTGTCCGATCATACGCTACCTTCTCTATTACTACTCGGGCATTTATTCAATAACTGCTCCATGCATGTAGACAATATCATCAATATAGAACAGTATGCAAACGTTTTGGCCAAGACCGTATTTTTGAATAAATGATGTTATTTTATCATATGTAATGGCTGGAGACGGCTTGAATGGGTAATGAAGAAAAACTTTAATATAACAGCAAATGTACAACGTTTCGACAAGGTTTTTGTCATCATAAGGAACAAAACCTTGTCGAAACGTT